ATGTATTTTTTCTTTATCTATCCATGGATGGACTTTTAGTCTGCTTCAGTATCTTAGCTACAATGAATAATGATGCAATGGACATGGCAGTGCAGGTATCTCTTCAAGATCCTGATTTCAATTCCTTTGGATATAAACCCAGAAGAGGGATTACAGGATAATACAGTCATTCTATTTTTAATTTTTTGAGGAGCCCTCACACTGTCTCTGCAGTGGCTACACCATTTCACATTCCCACCAACAGTGCACAGATGGTACCTTTTTCTCCACAACTTCACCAATAATATGTTTTTTTAATAGTAGCCATCCTAACTGATGTGACATGATCATTCATTGTGATTTTGATTTGCCATTCCCTAACAATTAGTCATGTTAAGTACTTTTTCATGTACCCATTGGCCATTTGTATGTTGTCTTTGGGGAAAATGTCTATTCAGTTTATATTCCCATTTTTAACTGAGTTTTTTGGCTTTTTTGTTATTGAGCTGTAGGGATTTCCTATATATTTTGAGTATTAACCTTCTATAAGACATATGGCTTACAGATATTTTCTCCCACTCATTTTTTAAATTATTTCCTAGCTGTGTAGAATCTCTTCAGTTTGACGTAGTTCCATTTGTCTATTTTTGCTCATTACCTGTGCTTTTGGTGTCACATTAAAAAAATCATTGCCAAAATCAATAATAGCAAGCTTTTCTCCTATGTTTTCTTTAGGAATTTTATAGTTCAGGTCTTATGTTTTTGTCTAATCCATTTGCATTTATTTTTGTGTATAGTGTAAAGGTGAATTTCCAGTCTCACTCTTTTGCATGTGGATATCCAGTTTTCCCAACACCATTTATTGAAGACAGTACCCTGTCCCCATTATGAATTCTTGGCACAACTGTCAAAAATCAACTGACTGTTATATGCATGAGTTTATTGGTGGGCTCTCTGTTATGCTCCATTGATCTAAATGTCTGTTTTTGTGCCAGTATCTTACTCTTGGTTACGGTAATTTTGAAATCAGAATATGTGATCCTTCCAGCTTTGTTCTTGCTCAAAAATGCTTTGACTGTTAAGGGTCTTCTGTGTTTCCATATGAATTTTAGGATTGCTTTTTTTTTATTTCTGTAAAGAATGCCATTGGGATTTTGATAGGGATTTATTTAATCTGCATATTTCTTTGGATTGTATGGACACCTTAACAATATTATTTTTTTCAATCCATGAACATGGATGTATTTCAATTTTCTAGTGTCTAGCCTTAATTTCTTTCTTTAATGTCTACAGTTTTCAGTGTGCAAGTCTTTGACCTCCTTAATTAAGTTTATCCCTAAGTACTTTATTATTTTATGCTAATGTAAACAGGATTGTTTTCTTAATTTTATTTTTAGATAGTTTGTTGCTGGTGTATAGAAACGCAACTGATTTTATATGTTGATTTTGTATCCTGCAGCTTTACTAAATTCATTTATTAATTCTAACAATTTTTTGGATATGTATTTAAGGTTTTCTACAAATAAGATCATGTTGTCTGCAAACAGATAATTTTACTTTTTCCTTTCTGATTTAGATGCCTTTTATTTCTTTTTCTTACCTAATTACTCTGGCCAGGACTTCCAGTCCTATTTAAATTGAAATGTGATCCTTGTTCAGTTCCAGATCTTAGAGGAAAAGCTTTCAGTTTTTCACCATAGAGTATGATGTTAGCTGTGGGCTTTCCATACATGGTCTTTAATATAAGTTCCTTCAGTATCTAATTTGTTGAGAATTATTACCATGGAAGTGCACTGAATTTTGTCAGATGCATTTTCTGTATTTATTGAGATACTCATATGATTTTTAGACTTCATTCTGTGAATTTGGTGTATCACATTTTTTAATTTTCTTAAGTTGAACCATCCCTGTATCCCAGGAATAAATCCCACTGGGTTATGGTGTATGATCCTTTTAACGTGCTCCTGAATTTGGTTTGCTAGTATCTTGTTGATGATTTTCTCAACTATGTTCTTCAGGAATATTGGCCTGTAGTTTTCTTTTCCTACATTATCTTTTTCTTACCTTGGAGTTAGGGTCATATTGGCCTGATAAAATGAGTTTGGAAGTACCTCCTTGTATTTTTTGGAAGAATTTGAGAGAATTAGTATTCAATCTTTTATTATTTTTATTTTGTATCAAGTAGAGTTGATTAACAATATTGTGTTAGTTTCTAGTTTACAGCAAAATGATTCAGATATATAAAAAAATAAATTCTTTTTCATATTTTTCCATTATAAGTTATTACAAGATATTAAACATAGTTCCCTGTGCTATACAGTAGGATCTTGTTGTTTATCTATTTTATACATGGTACTTTGTATCTGCAAATTCCAAAATCCTAATTTATCCCTACCACCTTCCCTTTTGGTAACCATAAGTTTGTTTTCTATGTCTGTGAGTCTGTTTATGTTTTGTAAATAAGTTCATTCGTATCATATTTTAGATTCCACATCTAAGTGATATCATATGATATTTGTCTTTTTCTGACTGACTTACTTCACTTAGTATAATAATCTCTAGATTCAGCCATGTTGCTGCAAATGGCATTATTTCATTCTGTTTTATGGCTGAGTAGTATTCCATTTGCCACATCTTCTTTATACATTCATCTATGGTTGGACATTTAGGTTACTTTTATGTCTTGACTATTGTAAATAGTGCTGCTATGAACACTGGGGTGCATTTATCCTCAAATTAGAGTTTTCTCTGGATATATGCCCAGGAGTGGGATTGCTGGATCACATGGTAACTCTATTTTTAGATTTTTAAGGAACCTCCATACCATTTTCCAGAAAGGCTGCACCAATTTACATCCCCATCAATAGTGTAGAAGGGTTCCCTTTTATCCACCCTCTCCAGCACATATTGTTTCTATGCCTTTTAATTATGGCCATTCTAACCAGTGTGAGGTGATACTTCATTACAGTTCTGATTTACATTTCTCTGATAATTAGTGGTGTTCAGCGTCCTTTCATGTGCCTATTGGCCATCTGTATTTCTTCTTTGTAGAAATGTATATTTAGGTATTCTGCTCATTTTTTGATTGGGTTGTTTGTTTTTCTTATTATTGAGTTGCTTGAGCTCTTTGTGTATTATGGAAATTAAGCCGTTGTCAGTCACGTCATTTGCAAATATTTTCTCTTAGTTCGTAGGTTGGCTTTTCATTTTGTTTATGATTTCCCTTGCTGTGCAAAAGCTTGTAAGTTTGATTAGGTCCCATTTGTTAATTTTTGCTTTTATTTCTATTGCCTTGGGAGACTGACAAAAGAAAACATTTCTATGATTTATGTGAGAGAGCGTTTTGCCAATGTTTTCTTCTAAGAGTTTTATGGTGTCATGTCTTATATTTCAGTCTTTAAGCCATTTTGAGTTTATTTTTGTGTATGGTGTGAGGGAGTGTTCTAATTTCTCTTCTGCCTAAATCATACCCAACTGAAGGATATTTAATGAGCTCAAAAAGATGGAGATTAAAATCTTTTGTTTTTCACTGCTGTGAAAACTGGAATAGAGGAAATGACCAAATCTCAAGCAACAGTGGGTTCTTTAACACTTCAGTTCACAGCTAAACTTATTCACCAGTGACATATTTTCCCACAGGTGCAGAATTTGCATTGCTAAATATAAGGTGTGGCCCAGGCAGCAGATCAGAATGAAATTTCTTTGTAAAGGCATTCTGAGTCACTGGAACATGTCCACCTCATTCTCCTACATTTACCAATAAAATTCCTCAGTTCTCCATGGGCCACTGAAGATATGTATAAAGAGGTCTGTAGTATTAATCTTTCAAAATCTTTCCTCTTGGAAACATGAAGACTACGAAGAAAGTGTCTCCACCCTAAACCACCAGTGTTTCTCAGGCATCTTCTTTTCAGTGCACTTTCTAGGTCAGCCCTTATTTCAGTCAGCCCTTGGCATATCCATGTTTCCATCTTCAGAGCAGCATCTTCTTCATCTTTTAATAACTTGTCCTTCTCTGCTCATTACATTCTATTGGTTCTGGTTTTTTTTAAAGCAGTTATGATCTTATGCACCTTCTTTCCTGATCTAAACTCTATACATTCCAAACTCTGATACTCTTTTCTCACCACTTCTCTGCACAGTTTCCTCCTCCCATTCCTGTGTGACATGTGCAGTCTTTTTCAATCTTCATTTCTATTGTCCTAAGTATTTCAGACCCAGTAGAAACCAAGAACTCATACTCCACAGTAGCCCAGTCTGAACTACATTCTCCACACACTCCCTTAAAGGAACTCAAGGTGCACTCTCCAGTCAAACCGTAAGGAAAGTATTCAATGGAAACTCGATCCTCACAAAGTCAGTGATGGCACACTTATATACTGGTGAGTGACATGATAACTATGAGAGACCAAAGCAAATTTCTCCACTGAATCCTCTGCAGGTTTCTCTTACAGCCATAAAACATCAGAGTTTTCCCAACTATACTGTGGTAAGAAATGTTTCAGTCTAGATACCATAAATTGTAATTTTGAAGAAATAAATGTCCATTGTATCCATCTCTGATTTAATTTACAAAAATTTTCCCCAAACTCTCCAAATCAATGTTTTATACCTTTATTGGTTCTTGAATTCCAGATCTTTCAGCTTCTAAATGTAGTCCACCTTCAGTCAGCTTCTTCCACCCCTCCCTGTCTTCCCTCTTTCCTTTTGTCTTCCTCTTTCCCTTCCAAATTTATTTTATGACTACTTGGTGAAGAATCCTGTGACAGTTGGGGGATGGGGGGAATGTCTACAGCTTCTTCAGTCTTCAGAACATATCACTCAACAAGTAAAATGGGCTTAATAAAGACTCTTTGAAGTAAAACAACAGTGGAATGTGAATGCTAAGGAGGGAGATATAACCTGAACTGCAGGGGTGTGGGCAATGAGTGCATCTTGGAGGTAGTTATACCTGTAATGGGTCTTACAGGTGAAAGTAGAACTAGCCAGGTTTAAACCAGGCAAAGCTACAATTAAACTTGCAGTTTACTACAGAGGGATCAAGCCAGTGGTATGCTGGTAAACGCTTAACACTTAACATCATAGGAGAAAAAAAAAGCCATAGAGCTCAGATTTGTGGTGATTATCGATTTCTATTATGTGAATATTACAGCACCATCATCAATTTCAAGCCGCTAACATAATGGCAACTGCTTTACAAACTATCTAAAAATTTATCAAAAGGCTTTTGTGATTTTGTACACACTGATTTCAGGACACGCCTGGGCAAGTCTTCAGACGGGAGCTGTTTAGTGCTTCTCACCCTAGCATAGTGTTATGAGTGGTACAAATAGGTTTTTTTTTTTAACAGGCAAAGGAAGTGAAAATCACAGAGAAAAGTGCATTTTAAAAAGTGAAGATCCAGCAGGCTCCCATTTGAATATGGGCTGCTTCTTTCAGGAATAAAGATGTTACCAGATAGGAGGAGCTCCTTGAATTCCTGTGAGGGATCTGTTATCGCCTCCCTAAATACTTCTGCTAACACTATTCACATCTCTACTAGCTCACCAAAAATGAATGGCCAGTGTAAAATAACCACAATGTATCCCAAACTTTAACTTTGATATTGGATGTAATTTAGGGCCAGTCTTACAGGCATTGCATCCCTCACCTGGTCTGAGTTTAAGGTACTACTTGAACTCATTCTTATACCACCATCCATGACAGTGGCCTGTGATCATGGGTTTCCAGTGTTAGATGCAGGAAGGAGATGCCATCATGACTCCTCTCTTCCAAAAGTATGAATCTAATATTTTGCTCCTCAGGCTAGTTCTGCAACTGAAAGGACATTCTTGAGTATGTGTAAGTCCTTAGTTCGGGTGACCTTTCATTTCTCTGATTTCTTCATGGAATTATACCAATGGATTTCATGGTATTTTTCGTTTGTAGAGATGGGATAAGAATTAAGTCTATATTGTTTGAATAATTAGTAAGTATGTATCTGAGTGTGTACTAGCTATAATTCCATGTTCACATTTGTAGCCTCATGTATGGCCCAAGAATTCCTTCCGAGAGAGGTGCTCTTCTTTTTCTCCACCTACTATTCTCCTACTCTTAATTCTTTTACGTATTCTTCTTTTTAATGAGAAGTAAATTGAGTTTTAGAAATATTTAATTACCTTCCTCAAGATATACACTCATCATGTTGCAAGGCCATTAAGTAACTCCAGATTATAACCAGTTCTGGGTATAAATCATTCTACACCAATATCTCCCCTGATTTAGTCCTCAGACTTAATTCTAGGCATCTCATTCATGGAAACACAATGTGCCAGGATTCCTCCCAAAGTGACTGAGCAAAGAACCAGAATAAAGACTCTCAAGAAATGTTCTTTCTCCTGAGATAAACTGTTTTTCTACAAAGGACAACCAGCCGAGAATCAAGCTTAGTTTCTAGATCTTTCATGACCATCTGACACAAACGGAGCTTTGGCCCATAATCCAAGTAACTCTGTATTTGATTCCCTTTCTAATCTTAATATCTATGCACACCCTTTCTGAGGCTCTGTAGCCCTCTTGAATCTTTTTTTATGGTTAAAATTTTTAAAATATATTTATTTATTTAGTTAGTTGAAGTATAGTCAGTTTACAAACTTTTGTCAATTTCTGGCGTACAGCATGTTTCCGTCATACATATACATATACATTCCTTTTCATTATAGGTTACTGCAAGATATTGAAAATGGTTCCCTCTGCTTTACAGTATAATCTTGTTGTTTATCTATTCTGTATATAGTATTTAGTATCTGCAAATCTCAAATCCTAAATTTATCCCTTCCCACCCCATTTCCCCCCTGGTAACTAAAGTTTGTTTTCTGTATCTGTGAGTCTCTTCTGGTCTCATAAATAAGTTCATTTGTGTCTTGTGTTTAAATATTTTCATTGTTACATAGTAATTTCCCTCAGGCCCCTTTAACCTCATAATTCACTATTCGTACCACTTTTACACCTGTCATTACATCTTCCATGACTATATTTTCCAGTAGACAAAAAGGGAAGTTGTCTACCTTGTCCTCTGTTGGAGGTCTCACAACGCCTACCATTGTGTGACAACTGAACACTCTGTTGTTGTTGAAGGTCGTGAGGTCCACCATGCAGGAGGAGCTGGAGGCAGCACAGATCAAACCTTCTGTATTTGACTTGTTCCGCACACCCAACATGCGTAAAAGGATCTGTCTCCTGTCTTTTGTGAGGTATGCTTCACACCATTTGTGAAGGGTGTTAAAAGAGTGGAGACATTGAATCTATCCCTTATCAAAGGATACAGCAAGTTGTGGGAACAGATTTGAGATAAAACATGATGAAGCCATAAAGATAATTGCTGCGTTTAAAGGTAGTCAAAGAGTTATGAAAAGACTGACCCAGAGCTAGTTATCCAACAAAGAATTTTATCATATTACTCTGCCAAGCTCATCACTGGAAACTAAGGCTGAGAATTTCAGTCATGGTACAGATGTTGGCTTTAACTTTCTCCACTTGTTTGTTTCCATTAGATGAAGATATAGAAAAAAACTCTAAAACCCTAGAAGGCTTCATCATGCATCCTCCAGAAAAACACTCAAAGCCCTTCCCCAAAACTCAACAACAATTAGGAGCTCAAATAATATAATTAGTTTGTAGTTTTAAAATCATCACCATGCAAGGATATATTCCGTAAAACATACCATGTTTTTATACTTTAAAACCAACCACTGACTGGCTGGCTAATATTTATTATCATCATTTGTGATGTCTCTGTGTCATTTAGAGATATATGCTAAATGTCTTTCATCTTTGTTCACTATAGATTTGCCAACTTCATGTCCTTTTTTGGCCTGACTCTCCACCTCCAGTACATGGGGAACAATGTTTTCCTGTTCCAGATTCTCTTTGGTGTAGTCAACCTCCCAGCCAATTATGTTGCATTTTTGGCACTGAATCACTTGGGTCGTCAAGTAAGCCAGACGCTTTTCATGTCTCTCCTTGGAATCTCCATCCTGTCCATCACATTTGTGCCTCAAGGTGAGAAAAGAGCACATGTTGAAATAAGAAAATGTCTTAGCTCAGAGGTTTGAAAACAGAATCTGAAGCCAGAGGAAATGGAGACTAGAGTTCTAAGGATTCCCCAAAACCAATCTGAGGATTTAGGATAGATTCTACCATTAAGTGGCTGTGAAATAGTCAAGGTCAGTAACAGTCAGTTCACATATGTCTTCATCATATCTGAGATGTATCCGATAATTGGTGCCATTTATTCTTGACTGTTTCTCTAGGAGAACAATTGATCGTTTGTCCTTTGGCCAATCACACTTGTAATTGTAAGTGACAAGATTATGTCATTATATATAGTTGTATCTCTTGTGAGGACACAATATTGTCACTTCCTCTGCCTGGTCTCTTTCTTATTACTAAGTTTCAGTGACAGTTTACTCCCTGACTCTATGTATCCACTCGTGTGTCTGGAATTAGGTCACCATAACTGCAGCCTGGTTTTAGGGGATCATCTTGACTCCCTTGTCTTCAAGCATTGAAAGTGTATAGAATAACATTAAGCTGTTCAGAGCCTCTGTTAAAACCTATTTTACTAAATTAAATAATCATATATGATAAATAAGGGAACCCACGTGATCACCATCCTTCACCTTACTCCCAGTGTAATTATGCATTTTGCAGGATTCCGTATTGGTGGGTTGCACTCCCCATCTTGTGTATCAGCATCAGTGAAATTTTGCTGCCTTACAACAGAGTCCACTCTGATGTTGTAACACCTTCATGATTTTTTAATGGTTAGGACGCTGACTCTCTGAAATTTCCTTTCAGAGGTTCCCAAAGTCTATTTTTTCCCCTAATACAGGTCCTTATTCTTAAATCTTCCAATATTATGCTCGATCGAGCAACTCTCCAGCTTATCCATTTACACGAGTCCCATTTTTTTAATTACTCTCTACTGCGGTACTAGCCAATATTGCATGTGCACCCAGGTTTTAAACTCCTGAAGGATACTGATGAGTTTTACATCCATAGTAATTGCTCATATGACCATCCCAAGTTATACATGAAAGGCAGAGGAGACACTGGACAGAATAAACAAAAGCAAATTCTTGCTGGCCTTTTGTTCCCCTCTCCATCTTTGGCAAATTTCTGAAATTTCTGATATGTAGAGAGAGTTGACACAGTAACTCAGGTTCTTAAATTCTTATTTAATCTGTTATGTACAGATAAGTCACATTTCTCAGCTATTAGTCATGGCACATCCTTTGCCTCTGTGCAATTTCTCTACCATGTATTTGACATGTACAAACATTTGCAATAGTGTCTTTTTCACTTATAATTTGGTAGATGGTGATTTCAGCTCAGATTTCCTGAGTCTCACTGGTCTTCCTCTCCAGAAATGCAGACTCTCCGTGTGGCTTTGTCCGCTTTGGGAGTAGCAGTTTCTTCTGTGGCTCTTATGTGTTCTTTTACCCATGGAAATGAACTAGTGCCCACCATCATCAGGTACATAATCTCATGGAAGCTATATCAGGGTCAAAACGGATCTTTCCCAGCTAATCAGTACATATAGTGGGAAGCAAACTAATCTGAAGAGTTATCAAAAGCATTGATTGTAGTAGTATTAATAATAACAAAACTATAGCTAAAATTTATTAAAAGTTGACTTTTATCAGGCACTGAGCTAAGCCCTTTAATGTATCATCTCATGCAATCTGCTGAACCATTAAAGGGTAGGTACTGTGGATAAGAATATTTTTTAAATAATGAAAACATGTCAGTGCACTTGTGTACTTGAAAAAATTTGTGAACAAATAAGAGCATATATCATATGTAAGAATACATCATTGGGGGAGAGTAGAGCTCAGTGGTAGAGCGAGTGCTCAGCATGCACAAGGTCCTGGTTCAATCTCCAGTACCACCATTAAATAAATAAATAAATACCTAATTACCTCCTCCTCCCCCCAGTTTTTTTTTAAAGAGTTAAAAAAAAAAAGAGTACATCATCAGCTTCATGTACCTAAACACTTCTGCGGTGTCTCCCATAATCAAAGTGAAATAATAAATCACAAATTACATATATGTGATTTATACTATATTATTTTTATATTGTTGTTTGCACCCCAAGGGTAACAGCTACAGGAATCATGGGAATTGCTGCTAATATTGGGGCAGCCCTGGCTCCCCTCTTGATGATCCTAACGGTGTATTTTCCCCACCTACCTTGGATCATCTATGGAGTCTTCTCCATCCTCGCTGGCCTTGTCGCCCTACTCCTTCCTGAAACCAGGAATCAGCCTCTACCTGACTCTATCCAGGATGTGGAAAAGGAGTGAGTAAACCCCTGGCTGTCCTTAGGGGAGCTGTGTGATATAGGTCTGTGCTGAGAAGCGCAAGACACCATGCAGGGCCATAGACCCCAGGGAAAACTTACACCTGAACTACTGCATGTGGTCAGTGCCTTTGGTTTAGTTACAGCCTCATCCCTCCCTACAGTGACCTCAGACTTCTCCAAGACTTCCTAGATCACACAGATCAGCTCTGCCCAGCCTGCAACAGGTTTACTGGTGAAGAGGCCAAAATTAGGTGCCTTATTGTGACATAGACACCCCTGAAGGCAGTTCACAAATATGCACAGATCCAAATACAAAATTCTCATCCCTCAAACCCTGGCAGCCCTCAGCCCAGTGAGGGCAGTAAGCTCTCTGGGATTGCTGGTGCCTGTAGGTCTGTGACCTTCCCTGGTCACTGAAGAATCTGAAGGAGATCAGGGAGAGGACAAGAGCCCCTCCCACAGATGACAGTTATCTCAGGGGAAGGAGACCTGTTGGGCTGCCTGTGAGATTCAGACCATCTGGTCTTCACTGGGAATGAAAGTGCTAAGAAAAGAGAGGAAAGGGGTGGTAAATATTGATATTTTTAAATGATCAAGAAAGGATTTTAAAACGTTTGTATACTTCCTTTGCCTCTTCCAAAGACCATATTAGCCAATACCATGGTGTCCGAGGGTGAGAGCTGAAAACTCAAAGCTGCCTTCCAGATCCTGCCCTGGGAGCTTGGCCTTTTTGTTCATAAAATTTAATCAAATCCTCAGGGCAAGTGTCATGGTTTTTATTAAAATTTGTGGCCCAAGAATCAACTTTCCCTAAAGAATGCAGGATATATATGCTTTTCCCATGTTTTCAGTTTAATTTCTGTTGGTTTGTTGTTGTTTTTCTAGGAGAAAAGGCTCAAGAAAAGCAAAGCAGGAAGATACCTTCATAAAAGTGACACAGTTTTAAGTAATTCCAGGAACTAACTCTAAAATCAAAGAGCAAGATAAATGAGAGAAAAAAATGGGATTATTCCTAGACAAAATTTGGAAACATAAATAAATAAAAAGATGTAATGGAAAAAATGGACTCCTTTTACAACTGCAGTACTAAATCACCACATCTAAAATGCCTATGACTAATCATAATAAGAAGTTTGAGGAAAGTCATAATACCTTTAAAGAAATAGTAATAAAATATGTGTATAATTGTAGATCTATAGCATGTTTCTCGATAGAAACATAGAATAGTACTAAAAACTTTGATTCTGCTCCAAATAATAACACAGTAATTAATAGAATAATTACTTTTGGGACAATTTGCAAAAAGAGTTCCAAATTTATTTACAAATTAGCAGGCAAAATAATTCAGAAAAATGAAGTTTATGGAGGGGAGGAGGTGCAAGTATTTGGGGCAGCATATGCTGGAATGAAATGCAGATGCATTTACAAATCAGAAGCAGTCTAGAATGAGACAGTGGCAAGTATATCACCTAAAATTCGATAATTTGGGCATTATAAATCACTGGTGGAAATAAATGATTATGTAATAAATGTCATTAACTAACTTTAGAAGTAAATGACTCCTAATTTGGCTTCGTTCGCTAAACCAAAAAATATATGTATATTGCATGTGATTAGAATGATGAATGGAACAATTAAGCCATGTTATTCAATAGGAAATGTGGATACAAAATCTTGGGATTAAAAAAATGTTATGAATAGTAAAGCAAATGCCAGAGGTTTAAATAAAGGTGATTTGACTAAATACTCATTTAAAACCTCTGCTGAACAAAACCCTAAAAACTTACCAGATAAATCTAGAAAAACATTCACCAAGATGATAAAAGCTATTAATTTTTAGCGGTATACCTTTATGAGATTTTACTGTCTTCTTTGTAAGTTTCTGTATTCTAGTTTAAAAAGGGTAATGAAACATTTTTAAATGTTATATCATCAAAAATAAACTGCGAAAGACAACAATTTTTTAAATGTTTATATATTAATATGCAGAATTCTAATAAATATTCAGGAAAAGAATACATAATTCAGTATTAGATGGTCAAGAGGCAACAGCATATAATTTTCAAAAGAAAAATCCTATGATTAATAAATTTATGAAAAACTGTACAAAGTCACTGGAGTTTCATGACATACAAACTAAATAAAATGCCAACTTTTATTTTCAAAAAGGATATAAATGGAAATTTGTAAATTGATGATAGAGTTATAAAATAACATACACTGTACAGCTGCTTAAAACAGAATGGTGTCATTATACAGAGCTTTAAAAATCTTTCATGGATTCAACAACTATTTATTCAGCATATAATAATTACCAAGCGATATGCTAGGAACCTTGGATACAAAGAGGAAATGAACAAACAAGTTATAAAAACAGATGTTGCAGATATTAGTCTATGTGTAGTGGTGTGGCATCACATTTTTATTTCCCATGGGCAACAGAATTTTATTTTAAAGTCCTCATTCCCTCCAGATTGGTGGAAAATTGCAAATCAGTTTGTTGGGGAAATTATTTCCACAGGTCTTCCATACCAGAGCTATCTAGATCCCAGGAGCATATACAGTGGCAAGGAGATAAGGTGGTTACAAGGAGAGGCTGCACAGGTTATTAGTTAACTGTTCAGAGAGATTACCAAGTTACTACCGGGCCAGTGGATGCTCAGGTACAGCACGTCTGCCACTCACATCATAATAAGACGTTGGAATCTGGGGCTTCTCGTCTGACTGCTCAGCTCCTTTTGCAGCCAAACTGGTAGGGGTCTTCTGTTTCCATGGAGGGCTCCTAGGGCTCAGGCTTGGATTCTTGCTCCCCCAGGACCCACAAACAGTCCGCCCTCCTCAGGCTTCCTAAACACTCAATTTCTTTCTCTTATCAGCTCTTCCACACACACCCTCTAGGTACCCCTGTGGACTTTAGCTTTTGAAACAGAGTCAATCAAGTCAATCAGTCTTACAGGCTTCTTTTGCCTTTCACCTGCCAAATGACTTCCAAGAGATCAAGAAAAACAGAAGTGACAACCTGCAAGACACAGGAGAGAGAAAAGGGAAATGCCAGGGAATTGTCGATAATTAATGTCATTGGTTTATCCAGTCTCTTTCCTAATGAAATGTTTGATATCCCATCAAAAGAAAGACCAGACAATATCTACTGTGCATCACTGCAAGGGCCAACTGCCAGTCCATAAAATCTAATGTTTTGTGGCAGAGAAAGTCCCACAGGTCCTCAAGAGTTGTCGATGCTACCACCAGCAGTGTAGCCCAGCAGATGCTCCATGACACACAGAGTAAAGTGAGGTGTATTTTGGTGGAGAAGCATAGTAAACACAAGTATAGAAAATTGTGGCGAAAGGGTTGGGCAAGTTTCCTTTCAGTCTAACACAGAGTTGCAGCATCATTCTTCAAAAACCTCATTAATATTTCCAAATTGTCATCATTTTACAATAGGATTATCAGCGAACATGTTTCATCTACTTTGTATTTTGTAATATTTCTCAAAAGGATTTTTATAAAAGGAAAAACAGCAGTCAGAGAATTAATGACATTTGAAATCAAGTGAGGAAATGTCGTATGGAAAATTCTCTCTTAATTGTAGTGTTAGAGCTTCTTCCTGGACACAGACACACAATACCCTCTAAGAGAGGCCTTGTCAACCATACTGATCTGAGCCATGAGACAGTATATAATTTTTGACAGTCATGTTATATAAAACATGATTCTATTAATTATTTGGAAATAGTATCATGGAATCTAGTCAAAGGTTCCTAAACAAGGGTAGAACATAAAACAAGTGTCGCTATTTACAGGTCGGCAGGTGGTTTACACAGTGACATGGCATGAAAATCTCTGGTGAAAAAGGCTTCCATTCATACTCTCTCTAAGCAGTTATTGGCCCTTTATTTTTCTCAGAGTTATTATAACACCACTGAGTGGAATACAGTCTTGTGGTGAACCTGAGGTAAGGAAATGTGTGAAAACTAGACCTAGGCTATGTGGCCTCTCATGGAATTTAGTAAAGCTGGCCTTTGGTTTTTTGTTTGTTTGCTGACCATCCCACAGATGCATCCTTCTTTGCAGAAAACTCAAGGAGACAGTAGTTCAGCCCTGTTCCCCAGAGTTTATCTTCTCCAAAGGCCACGAGCTGCTGTTGATCAAGACACAGGTCGAGCAGTTTCGTCACCATAGGCTGTCATCTGCACAGCATGTTCTGTAAGAGCTGGAAACCCTTACATGAGGATGTCTTAACTACAGAGCTGTTTTATCAATTTATTTATCAATGTGTTTATATATGGCACATACTGTTCCATTTTAGAAAGAGAAATTAGTTCATCTCTCCACTACAAGTGAATCTCTAAGTCTAACAAACAGCAAAGGCAAGAGAATTAGGCTTCAACTCTTGAAGAAAGGATGATTGAAGAATTTAGGAACATATTTTTTAAACCAACAAAGGCTACATTAAACTTCTGCCTCTTCTGTGAAATAGAATCTGAGATAAAATCTGGCAGGACTGGCACGTTCTGAGGGCTGTGAAACAGGTACCTGTTCTGGGCCTCTCTCTTAGCTTCTGGCAGTTTTGCTGGCAATCTTTGCTGTTTCTTGGCTTCTGCTGTATCACCCTAATCTCTGTTCATCTTCACATGGTGTTCTCACTATGTATGTGCCTTGGGCTCATACTTCTCCTTTTTATAAGAACACTAGTCATACTGGTTTAGGAGTGCACCCTGCTCTGGTATGGCCTCCTCTTAACTAATTACATCTGCATTGACAATTCTGAGAATTGCACATCCTCAGAATAAGTCACATCCTGAGTAACTGAGGGTTAAGACTTCAACATATAAATTTTGGTGGACTTGGTTCAACTCAACAGCCTTTAAAAGACAGGAGGAGAAGAGAGATGAAGAGAATAATGAGAAGCTTGTTGATTTTGGTACTCACAACTGGTTAAGATTTAAAGTATAACTTGAAATTTGTTAAAAATATTAAAATTTTGGTTAAATAAA